CAGTAGCAGTAGGAGTAGCAGCAGGACCGGGACCGGGATTGGGAAGCAGTACTAGTCGTCGACGTAGTTGTCGTAGCTGCAGTAGGAGAGTTACAATTAAGAACAGCCGCACGATCAGTAGCAGTGCAGTGGCAATGGCAGTAGCAGCAGTAGCATTTGCAGGAGTTGCTGTGACTACCGTTGTCTGTCGGTGTCAGCGAAGATGACGACGGCAAGGATGAAGATGATCATTGCAACCTCAACTTAAACAATTGTCATTATGAATGCAGGTGGCAAGAGTAGAAGAAGTACCGAGAGCGTGTTTCATCGCGACGCAAGCAATAACCAGAGTCGTGCTCAAGCTGCAGCTCCTGAAACCGCGAAGCCTGAATTTTATGTGCTTAATTGGTTTCTGTCTTGAATTGGGGCCCATGCATAGCTGAAGAGGAATAGAAAGGTAAGTAGGAACGAGAAGCACAATCAGCAGTTCCTACTAACCATAGGCTTCTGTTTTGCACCCCAGCCAAAAAGATGGATACCGGATACCTTATCAAAGGCCTTATCTTAACCCATATAGTGGTGGCCGTTTGCTTATTGGTACGTTCTCCCCTTTTTGAAGTCGAGCAGAACCACGGCTCAGGCGGCCACGACAGTCGTAAAGCAAATCTCCCAAGCGTCGGGAAAGAAGGCAGGCCTTTGCAAAGGGCTGCGTTTCATGGAAGGCTTTAGCGATCTTTGAGGTTTCTAAACCCTACCCCTGAACCCCTAAACCCTGAACCTTAAATCCTAATCTGGGTCTGGGGATTTCTTTCACGTTTGTTGCGGCTGGACTTCTGCACTAAGAGAGTGGGGGTGTGCGACCTGCCGAGAGCACTATACCCCTCAATCACGGAGTAAACCATGCCTCATAATCAGAAGCACCAAGCAGCTTAAGTAGAATTGACGTAAAACCGTAAACCCTAAACCCTAAATTCTACGTATACAATGTCTATGTAAGTATGTTCAAAGCATGTCTCAAACCCAAACTCCCGTCTTCTAGTGCTTATGTTACAGCTGCGCGCTGACCTGCCCGTATTTATAGCCAGAAAACGCCACATGCCCCCAAACTTGTTCTCAGGTGCCGGGTGGATAAGCTCTAACCATTCTGGGCTTGTAGAACCCTCCTATAATGGTTAACTTGATTGGGCTAACCCTAAACCCTAAACCCTAGGGTACTCAGCCCCTAGGCATGAACCTTAAGGCTGAAGCCCTTTCAAAGCAAGGCGCCTTTAGTCAAAACCTAATAACAGGACCCTACACCCTAAACCCTAAACTCTAAACCCTAAACCCCCAACCCTAAAGCCCCTGCCGAACGCACTCTCCCCAAACCCTGCTTCCCTGAACCCGACGTCCCAGAGCCTTTTCAAAACCCAATGTAGGGGCCTTAATAATTGCCTACACTATTTTGGGTGGGTTCCTTATTATAACCATAGTATGATATACCCGCAAAACCCTATTCTAATTGTTTAGGCCCCTACATTAGGTCCCTTTGAAACCCTCAACGCTAATCCCCCAAGCCCTTAGCTTCCCGACGCTGCTCCCAAAACCCTAAACCCTAAACCGTGTTCTCCACAGGCAGCTCATGAGCGCACTGAGCTGCAAACAGGGTCAGGGCCCTGGATCCATAAGGTTTAGGGTTTAGGGTTTAGGGTCCTGGAGCGTCGTGTTTTTGTAAGGTACTTTTAGGATTTTAGGAGTTTGTGGGGATCTTATATACGGTATTTTTGGTGGTTTTAGGTCTTACATGGTTTTGCGATCTGGTTCAGGGTTTAGGCTTAGGCTTTAGGTCGAGGTATATGGCATCATTGAAACACTCCTCCGCTTTGTGTACGGTGCCAGATAATGTAACATAGAGTCGGAGGGCGTCGAGCCGGTGCAGTATGGAGAAGCACTGCAGCATGTCAAAGAGTGGGAGCAGACCCGGGATTTTGCTCATGTGGGTTGCCTCG